CTTTAAAAAACAAGGCATCGATTCAACTCCTGATGACAAGCCACCATCCAGCGAGGAAGCAATGCAAATGGCAACAAATCCATCAGTATGCACAAGAATTACCAGACATCAGTGATCAACGGGGCAGTTACTTGCAACTAGCAAGAAAACTGTATGACACGCAGGCAAACATTGTCATAAACCAAAGAATGCATCCAACCAAACAATCCAAAATAGACACATTTTTTTTCCCCAAGACAGAAAAAAAAATAAACATGAAAATACTGTACATATTTTACTGTTGTGATTTTTTTTGGCTACACCTGTATTGCGGTTTTTGTTATATAATGTTTTTGGACAGTATATTTTTGTATTTTGTTGACTGTGTTGTTACACGTGCATTTTTGTCAACATACTTGCAGGTTCATAAAGGACATGTACCATGCTCATTTCCCAAATGAGGAATTTCTGTTATCAGGACAAATTGGACAGCGCAAACACGAGTCCGCACTTGGGAATATTTACTGTACCTCATTTCTGGCCGAAGCTGCTCATGAAGGTGACAGACCTGCGAATGATCGGGGCCTGCCATGCAAGCCGGTTCCTTCACATGAAAGTGGAGTGTCCGACTGAGTTATTCCCTCCTCTGTTCCTGGAGGTATTTGAGGACTGAGTAGAGGATTTTGATAAAAGAAAAAAATGTTTGTGTGTGAGCACTTGAATGCCCCATAATAGGTGGAACTAGTGTCATTTTATTTGGTAGTTTATGAGTAGTTCTGTGATCAATTATTTTGACTGGATGCACTCCTTTCTGGGTGGGGATGTGTGAATAGCATTCTTGTTTGTTGCTTTGTTTCTTTCTCTAAAATGTGGAATAAAGACCCAAGACCTTGACATCTTTTCTTCACTTTTTCAGAACACAATACGAATCGATTTGGACCTCTGTATACTATCGACAAGTGGTCCCCAATGCCTGGGCTGCGAACCGGTACCGGTCTGTGGGTCATTTGGTACCAGGCGCACAGAAATAATAAATAACTTACATCACTTCCGTTTTATTCATTTATGAATCTGAAAGATATTTTATTTTTTTTGCCGGATTCTCTGTTACATCCGTCTACAGTACGTCACTCTTGACGCACTTCTTGGTCACATGATAGGTTGCTGCGAAAATGAAACCCAGGAGCGAGCAAAATGAGTAAAAAAAAATACAAGCATCTTTGGAAAGTTTCTTTGGGAAGGGGAAAAGGCCCAGCCAGGAGACAGAAGAGAAGCCGACGACTTTCAAGAAAAACAAGGCTACATTTAATAGACAGTGCCAGGACTCCTACTCAAAATCCGGCTTTATCTCAACGGGAGATTCCCACACACCAAGCCCACTCTGCATAATATGCAGCGATGGTGAGTCGAATTTGTCATGCACTTTGTATTCGTGGTGTATCTTATTTTGAAGGCACGTCAAAACGTTAACATAGCGAACAGCGAGTGTTGCGGCCAGATAGGATGTTCCTCGTGTCATGATTCGTGTTTATTATTATGTTTCGAAAATACCACAGTTTTCATGCAGGTCATATCATTTTATTTTGTTGTATTTATCTGGCCTTAAAGGTCGGCCCCTGAAAATGTTGTCCGACATTATACCGGTCGGTGGTGCAAAAAAGACTGGGGACCACTGCTTTAGACGTCGTCAGAGCGCACAGACAAATAGAGACACAAGCGTGTCTATGTGTCTGCGTGTGTGTGTATGTATGGACATATATATAGAGAGAGAGAGAGAGAGAGAGAGAGAGAGAGGGAGAGAGAGAGAGAGACAAGATGTTAATGAGAGCTGGATAGTCACGCCCTTAAGCAACTAAACTAAAGACATAATGACCAACAGGCGTGCAGTTTCAGGCGGAGCCCTACAGTCCCACCTGTTGGTCATAAACAAAACCATGACATTTTCGAGTTACGAGCTGTCACTTAGCCGAGAGAGACTCCCAAGTTGCCGATGCGGTTTCAGCTCTTCATCTTACATTTTCAGCACACAAATACAGCCCAAATTTATTTTGAGAGCACAGGGGGAAAAAAAACAACAACCAGGGGAGCTGTAGTAGGACTAGTACACAATTAACACTTACAAGTGCTTCACTAGAAACTCTACATGGCCCAGCGAGTCGGTCACGCACTAGTAGCCGTTCCTGAGACACGGTTGACGCAGAATCGTACTTACTAGTCAGGACAAATGTGTCCTAGTACCGAGACCTTAAGCTGTATATGCAATGAAATTGTGTGCGCGTGGCCCATTCCACGTTGTGACGAATGTGTTGCTTTGAAAGAGAGAAAAGCGCTCAAGCACAAACACGAGATCTTAACGCGACGTCAAGCCTCGCGTGTTGACGGCCGGGCCCCCCCGTTGGAACATTTGAGACATGTGACGTGATAATTTTGTGCTTCTTCACCTCTTGCGCACGGCAAATGTTCGTGTGTTGTTTGCTTTTATTTGTTTGTTTGTTTTTTCTCCATTTGGTTTGGATGAACGTGTTGGCTTCCGGACAGAAAATACAACCAAATTTGTATTTGTAAGACTGAGTATGAAAATAAATAGAATTTAATGTTCAGTGAGGATCAAATACAGTTTCAAAGAAAAAAATCGATCCTTTTCAAATTCAAATTGTACAATTCAGATTCAGTTATTCAATATGATCCAGATTAAAATATACAAATCCAGCCATTATCCGAGCCACTTAACTTCAATTTATGTCATTCAAATTCGGTATAAACTATTTCAATCTAAGTTCTTCACATTTAGCTTTTGGTGGCAAATATTCCACCTCACAGTGTCGTACCTAGTTTAAGAAATTTCAAGAGTTATTTTTACTGACCATTCATTGGTCAAAACATGTACGAATGTTTGTTTTCCTAACACACTGTCCATCCTTGTTTTCTTACAGTTCTGACAGCCGCTGTGAGACCAAACAGTCTAACATCTTGGGCCACAGACCAGGAAATCGATGTCACAATCAAAAGTTGGCTACATCTGGCTCCTGATCGGGATGGTGACAGGAAGGAGAACATGAGAAGAAAAGAGAGCATGGAGAGCACAACAATTTGATGGATAGAAAAATGCCGTTCAAGAGCAAGCTGCATCCCAGTTTGGACTCTGTGTTCACTGTTAAAATAAGAAAAGTGCCGTTTTCCAGTGTATGTGCAGATATATGTGAGGTTCACAAATTATGACAATAAACATAACAGTCGTTTTAAAAAAATGTGGGTCAAATATGGCTCATGAAAGAAGTGGCTTAGTTCAGGTTGAATTAAGGCTGATACCAGGATCAGAGATGGTTGTACAATGTGGCTCAGGTATGGGCCTTATGTGGCCCATATTGTGGATGCCAGATGTGGGCCGTCACTCATTGAGGTATGTGGGCCGGGTGCAAGTGATGTATGCGGCCCAGAGCTGGGCCAGACCAATTTTGCTGACTGGGAAGGTGTTAAGTTTTAGGCATGAGTGTTGAAGGGTCACAAGGCCCCATTTGCGAACCTGTTGCCAAGATGTCCGGGGCCTGAACATCATTTTTTATTTTAAGCATGACTCCTAATCACGTTTTTTAAATCCAGCTTTTTAGTTTAATGGGAGTTCCCCCCATGTTGACGAAGCTTTCCAAAGATAATGTGTCAAAGTTTGGTTTTTTTTCTTCTCCAAGCAGGCTGCTTGAGGCTATTTGTCTTTAATTCTTATCTTTGAAATTGACCTTTGAGAAATCATTTTATTGCAGTACAGTAAATGATCAAATATATTCAGATGGGTTGACACAAGTATACACACACGCATAAGTGATGTGAAATTTAAAAGGCATGTACACATACATACACGTCTTAATAAGATAAGATAACCTTTATTTGTCCCACACTGGGGAAATTTGCTGACTACAGCAGCAAACTTGGGGGGGAAGAAAAAAACCAAATGTTTCATTGCACAAAATAAATGTTTCAGAGAGAACTGTTCACAGTTTAATAAAAGTGCAATATAAAATTAATGCATTCTTTAAAAAAAACAAAAAACAAAAGAGGTAGCAGGACGGACAGCTCCAATTTCACATATTTGGTTGGAACGCAGCATAAGATGATTTTCTCTTGCCATTTAGGAAGGACCTGTTGAGGAGGAGAAACTGCTCGTTTCTTTCTGGCCCTCCTTGGACACAAGTCCTTTTATTTCTCTGTAATGAGAAATAAAGACCCAACACCAAGTCGTCTTTTCTTCAGTTTATTACAACACAACACGAATCGATTCGAGCTCTGCCGTTTGGTTTTTAGCGTAATCGGTCACGTGACGCAGAAGCGTAGCTACACGTGTGTCAAGCCTGACACAGACGGATGTAACGGAGAATCCGGTAATTTTTCAAAATAAAACATCTTTCGTATTCCGAAAAAAATTAATCGGAATTAAGGCAAGTTCTTTCTGTGCGGCCTGGAACCAAATGCCCTGTGGCCCGGTCCCGGTCCGCGGACCGGCGGTTGGGGACCCCTGGTCTACAGCAGCAAAATTGGGGGGAAGAAAAAAACCAAACGTTTCATTGCACAAAATAAATGTTTCAGAAAGAACTGTTCACAGTTAAATAAAAGTGCAATCTAAAATTAATACATTCTTTAAAAAAAAACAAAAAAACAAAAGAGGTAGCAGGACGGACAGCTCCAATTTCACATATTTGGTTGGAACGCAGCATAAGATGATTTTCTCATGCCATTCAGGATGGACCCCACTTCTCTCTCCAAAAGTCAACTGGGTTTGACTCCAGCTCAGCGTCGAGCCTCAATCGTTCATTTGATGCTCATGCTTGGTTATTTATCAGTGACCTTTATCAGTGGCTGACAGCCAATCCAGGTCTCACCCCGTCAATCCAAAAAAAAGTCATTGAGGCACAGTTCCAGCTTAAATGTGATCCGAAATCATCCATTAGCATGAGTGTTTGTCTTTCTGTGCTCTGTGATTGACTGTTGACCATTCCGGGATCAGGGTATCTCCCGCCTGGGGTCCAAAATCAAATCCTCCTCGCTCATTCGTCTTTCTGCTCTTAGGCTAGAAGTGATGTGAGTTGATTTGACCTCTTTTTTGCTTCCTGATGGTGACAGCCAAGCAAAATCTTAAACATCTCAAAGTGGAAAGTTTTCATCATCAGTTGCTCTTATCTTGTCCTTTAAAATGTGAGAAAAACAATGTCTCAGAAACACAATCACGGTTGTTGGTTATGTACAAATAGATGACGCACACCACAGCCACGGGTATGAGCGCTCCGAGCACACCAAGCACCACTCCAACCCCCTCGGCACCTACTGCAACAAGAAGATCTGAGTTTATTTCTTCGTTCCAACAGCGTGTTGTCATTTCTCAACAGCAACAAAGTTGACCAAAACACGAAATGTGAAGCTGATTCAGGATCTTTTTTTTTTAACCAGTTCAAAGTAACTATGCCGTGGCTACATGGTCGGGTGTTATTTCTGGGCTGCCAGACTTGCTTGTGTTCGGCAGACTCGGGACTTGTAATAATAATAATACATTTCATTTATTTACAACTAAAGTTTTCAAGCATCCATTTTGAATACCTTTTTTTCTCGCAAATTGTCCGACGTGTAGAGCCATTTTGATCTCCTTTTGGAGAATAAGGTATTTATTAAAATCTTGTCTCACCAAGTGCCTCTCGGATTTTTGACATGTCTTATTCCATTGTGTGTGTGTTCTCCACAGCAGGGGAAATAGCATGGAAGAAACGCAACCAACTGAAATTTAAAACACTGGAGCATCTTATTTTTCGAAATAAAAATTTGTGAAGACAAAGCCCACAAGCATCCTCATTCACATGATTTTCACATTATTGAAACACATTGAATGATACAATATGAATGCATGGAT